GTCGCACAGTGGCAGGTAGTCTTCGCTCCTCTGGGGTTCCGCGGTGGATGGCTGACTATTGCTCTTCCTGGGTCGAGGAACCAATCCTTGAAGGACATCATGCTCAGAAGGGTAGGGGGGTGGCACAGGAGAGGGAAACTCTGGATGAGATGTATTGATACAGTGACTAGGACAATGGGGACAGGAGTGTTAAAGCCAGTGAGATTGGCTCAGGAGAGGGCAGACTTCATAGGGTCACTATAAGTCACAAGCTACTTGATGGCATGTAACAACATCATCACATAGAATCGATTATTAAATACATGTCAAAGGGATGCAAATAAGTAAATTAAGGGAGGACAGAAAGGAAGCAAAGTAGGCAAGGAGAAGAATGGGCAAGAGGAGGGGCAGGAGGTAGACAATCAACCTCACTCTAAATTTTGTTAACTATAAAGGAGAACATTGAGCAAAATGATACCATATGAAAATTTCTGCAGTAGAATTTGGAGGAACTGAGACTCCCAGATAGTATTTGCAAACTTCAGATTTTTCATTTGAAATTTGAAAAGACTGTGTCAGATACTCCAGCATGCCCTTGAACTTTTATTCTAGGCCCTTTTCCTCTTTCTTCCTCCACAAAGAAAGTCATACATTTACTCATTACATTCCCATTCCCATATCCTTTCCATCTCTCTGAATAAATGTGGAACTGATGGCTCTGGTTGGCAGGGAACAGCCGATCAGGGCTCTGCTGTGCCAACCACATACCCTCTCCATTCTCACAATTTTCTTGGCATCCCTGGAGAACTGTGGCTTGGACTACTCAGCAATCTAGACAAATTCCCAGAGGATCTCACTTTTTATGAACACATTTTCTGGTAAGATTGGTTTAGTCCACATATGCTTGAACACGAGTTGGCTAACCTTCTTACTGCTCTTCCTGAGCCGCCTTCAAGTCATCTCCAGCTCATGACAGCCTGTGTGTCCCAGAGTAGGATTGTGCTGTAAAGAATTTTCAGTGGCTCAGTTTTTTTTGAAAATAGGTTGTCAGGTCTTTCTTCAGAGGCAGCCCTCGGTAGACGTATATTTCCAGCCTTTGGATTAGCTGTTCAGAATCTTTACTGGCATTGTTCAAAGAGTCCCACAAAAAGAAAGGGGAGAACAATTAGGGATTACAGGAAAGGGAAAAACATATAACCTTCAGATTAAGTAATGCAGTGAAACATAAAAATAAATGTGTGAGAATACTAAATAGGTAGATGATAGATAGATAGATAGATAGATAATAGATAGATGGATAGATAGATAGATAGATAGATAGATAGATAGATAGATAGATAGATAGACAGACAAACTATCTGTTGCTGTTGTTATGTGCCATTGAGTCACCTGCGACTCATAGCAACCCTCTGTACAGCAGCTCTGAAGCCTACCCTCTCCTGAGCCTGTCTCACTGATTCCGACACACCTAACTCCATTGACCCAGAAACTGTGTCAATCCGTTTCATACAGGGTCTTCCTCTCCTGCACTGTCCCTCCATCCTTCTGAGCATGATGTCCTTCTCCAAGGACCAGTCCCTCCTGGCCATTTTCCCAAAGTCTATGAGATGGAGTTTCAAAATACTAGCCTCCAAGGAGAAACTTGGTTTGACCCTCTCCAAGACAGACATATTTGTTTTCTTGGTGGTCCATGGTATGGTCAAGACTATACAGATATATAAAAAAACAGCATTGCTGTAATAGACCTGCATCTCAGTTTATCACATATTAACCTCTTTGCCCTTGATCTTTCTACAGGATTGAGGGTAGAGAGTCTGCCTGCCTCTACACCTTTTCCTGTTTCTCTTCCTCCGAAAATTTCCCCACCAACATCCCTCTGGACAACCTCACTACAAAATACAACTGCAGTCACCACATCCCCTACCAGTGGCTCTTACAGCAACTCATTGCTACCAGTGACATCATCAGCCCAAACATCTTCGGTTTTCAAAAACACTGAATCCAGGGAGAAGGAAGTCACAGAGCCAGCTTCGAAATTTGAAGGCACAAGCACAGACCATTCATCTCCGGACTTCTCCCCAACAAGTGGTAGCATCCACTTAACACTTACACCAGCTGACCACAGCTTGAACACTTCTGAAATAAGCGTGCCGCCTACAGGGGCCAAGTCACCCTCTGAGTCTCCCACACTCATCTCTCCTCAGACTCCAGCCTCATCACCTTCGTCCTCATCAACCCAACCACCTGAAATTCCTTCTGTCTCTGTCACCCTGGACCACACCTCAGGTGGGACCAGCTCCAAGCTCCCAGGAACCTCAACCTCACCAGAATCTGCAACAGAACAACACAGCTCAAGCCACATACCCACTTCACATGCTACTACTGAGCTAGCAACGAAGGAGACAACATCCCAAGCAACTGTGCCAGCCAAAGTAACATGTGAGCTGATAGACACCGAGACCACCACCACCTCGCCAGGTGTGATCATGGAGCAAGTGGAGCATGCATTAAGTTCAGGTGAGTCTGCATCTAGAACACTAGTGCAGGGGATATTAAGAATATAAGCCAGTGAATTATCTCAGTCACAAAAGGACAAATACTACATAGCACCATTGTTAGAAAGCAGATCTGACATAGAAGGTTTGGAAGAGAGTAGGATAACAGTGGCTAGACAATGAACAATGCATTGGAACAGACTAAAGAAAGAGCTATTTAAAAGGAATATACAGTTAGGCATTGTATGTACGACAACAGCCCATAATAAGCGATATATAGCAAAGAGGACTAGGGGAATGGGAGATAATTGTACAACAATGAATGAATATTTTTTTTTTTAAAGTGAACTGGGAGAGAGGGAAGGGAGGGAAAAGGGATAAAATGTGCAATAGTGAATGAATGAAAATGTAACATTTTAGTAAATTTTTGTTAAAATTTTTTTTAAATTAAAAAAAAAAAGGAATATAGGTTAGGCCACCAAACACAGTTAAGGTCAGATTTTAGAGTACAACACCTGAACTGAATTAGAATTCTGTAAGAGTATAAACTTGTTAATAATTTAATAATTTCTACATCATATTTAGTAACTGTGGCCAATTTATATTGATTAAACAAATATAGTTCATCCTGACACATTGTCACAGGTCAGGTAACCGAGAGAGAGAATGTACAGGAACGTGATTAACACCACAACTTTTGTTCCAGTTCCTTGCTATAAATTGTCTCCTGACTTCATATAAATTACTTCACCTCTTTCCCTGTTTTCTTCTGTGAAATGAAGGTAGGAGAGGCCACATACAGTCCTTATGAAAACTAAATGAGATAAAATGTACAGTATGTGTAGCAGTATCTGAAAGGAATTTTTGCTTAGAAAAGTTTTAATAATAATTGAGTCTTTGGATGGTACAAAATGTTAAGTACTTGATTACTAATCCAAAGGTTGATTGTTCAGGTTTACCCAGAGGCAGCTTGGAAGGTCGGCCTGGCAGTTTGCTTCTGAAAGAGCACAACCTTGAAATCCCTGTGGAGACCAGTTCTCCTTTGACAAACATGAGTCAAAATTAACTTGAGGGCAACCAACAATAAATTACCATGTTGTTCATTTTGCTGAATGCATGAGACAAGCCAAAGAATGCAGATAGTGGAGGGGTGAAGCGAATGCACTTTCCTTTTTGCTGTCATTAATGTATTCTATGCATGGGAAATGCAGTATATTGTTTTCACATTTGTTTTTAGTCTTCCAGCAACCATGTGAAGTTATATCATTTTACCTTCATTTGTAATTTGTTGACAGATTTAGGATCTTTTTTGAGGTTACATGCACAGGACTTTTGACTTATTTGATAGGAGAATGCTTTATTGTAGCATTTGGCACCTTGATTCAGTAACAGTGAGGTGAAAACAGCTGTCAGGTGAATGAGGAAATCAAGATGCACCCCCTTCTTTAGGGAATCTCTGGTGACCTAGTGGGTAAAGAGTTGTGCTGCTAACTCAAAGCCATGCAATTTGAATCCACGAGCTGCTCCAAAGGACCAAGATGGGCAGTCTCCTTCTGTACAGTTTACAGCCTTTGAAAACACACTGGAAGATTAGTTACAAGTCAGTTTGACTCATCAGCTTATAACAGCAGCAGCCTTTCTTTCCCCTAGGTAGTTTTTCCAGGGACATGGACTGTTTGTGGGTTAGTCAGGAAACAGCTACATGAAGCCAACTACTGTCAAAAGAAAGGTGCCTAATGGAAGTATCGAGGAGAAATTTTACTATCATTTCATAATCAATCATTATACAACTAAAATGAATCCACTCACTCAGCTGTTAACCAAAAGATTAAAGATTTTAATCAACCCAGAGGCACTTTAGAAGAAAGGCCTCATGAACTACTTTCAAAAATGTACCTTTCAAAATCAGATGGAAGCAGTTTTATTCTTGTCCACATGAGCTCATCATGCATCAGAATGAACTCAACAACATCTCTTCTACTGAGTATAAATTAAAGCTGTGTTAGGCAGTTGGAGATGAGAGATACAGCTTAGATTAGCAAGGCACAGTTCCTACCATTGAAGGTAGAGAAGTCCCAACAAATTGCAGGGTTTTGATTTTTTTTTCCAAAGTTCTATATACCAGTTATGCTGACTTAGTATGCAACATGTCAGAATGTTAACCAGAAAGTCAGAAGTTCAAATCCACCAGCTTCTCTGTGGGTTGTTGCTGTTGTTGTTGTTATGTGCCGTCGAGTCGTTTGCGACTCATAGCGACCCTATGTGTACAACAGCCCTAAACCGTGCTCTATCCTGTGCCAGTCTCATTGCCTCTGACAAACCCATCCCGAGTACCCCAGTCACTGAATCAATCCACCTCATAGAGGGTCTTCCCCTCCTGCGCTGTCCCTCCACTCTACCCAGCATGATGTCCCTCTCGAAAGACCTGTCTCTCCTTACAACATGTCCAGAGTATGTCAGACGAAGCCCCAGAATCCTTGCCTCCAAGGAGCAGCCTGTTTTAATCCTCTCTACGATGAATCTGTTTGTTTTCTTGGCAGTCCATGGTACATTCAATACTCTTCTCCAGCACCACAGCTCAAAGGCGTCAATTCTCCTTCTATCCTCCCTAGTCATTGTCCATCTCTCTGATGCATAACAAGTGATTGCAAAAACCATGGCCTGTATCAGGCGCACCTTAGTCTCCAGAGAGACACTATTGCTCTTGAGTATTTTGGAGAGGTCCCTAACCACAGACTTTCCCATCGCAATACGTTTTTTTATTTCCTGGCTACTGGTGCCAAGAGTGTTGACCGGGGAGCCGAGCAAACTGAAGCTGTGAATAATCTCAATCTCTTCGCCATCCATCCTGATGCTACCGATTGATCCAGTGGTAAGAATTTTTGTCTTCTTAACATTGAGCCTCAGTCCATATTGAAGGCTTGCAGGGACAAAAATTCTAGTCCCATAAAGATTTATAGCCTCTAAAACCCAAAGGCAAGGTGTTAGGAGTTGGAATTGACTTAGCAGTAATTAGAGAGTAGACCATTGAAGATCCCAGAAGGAAAGAAATACACACTGAAACTGAAAATATGTTGTTATGTGCCATCAAGCCAGAAAAAACTCATAACTAGCCTTTCAGTGAGTTTCCAGAGGCTATAAATCATACAGGAGGAGATTGCCCATCTTTCTGCAGCAGAGCAGTTGGTGGATTCCAAACACCTACATTTGGATTGACAGACAATGTAACTCCTTACTAAATAATCAGAGTTCCTTGTAACTGGGATAATAGAAACTTAGTATAAAGATGAGTGAAAGGTGTGCAGGATCCCAGGAGTAAAAGCAGCAGAACAGTTGTCAGCCAGGACATTATTTAGCCTGACTTAGACTGAAGAGGGAGCTCTGGTGGCCTAGTTGTAAGAAGCTGTGCTGCTATCCCAAAGGCATGTGGTTCAGAACTACCAGCTGCTCTGTGGCAGGATGGGCAGTCTCTTCCTGTGCTGTTTACAGTCTCTGGAAGCCCACTAGAGAGTCAGATGTGAGTCAGTTCCAACTTAAAGGTACACAGTAACAACACCAGACTAACAGAGGGACTGGTTAGCAGAACGCCAGAGAGAGAAACGTGCTGAACAGACTACAAGGACTATTAACTCAAAGAGTGCCCCAGCTCCTTGAGTGAGGGAGTAATGCTCTGCTCCAGCCTCAACTCTCCCTGATCTTTTGTCACCTCATTGGCATGTCCAAGCAGAAGTTACAGGGAGAGGAAACCCGCCCTTGTGGCCCATAAACAGCAGCCTCCTGCAGAGCTTTCAGAGAGCAAAGCAGAGGAGGGTGGAAAGGGGGACTGTATCCAGTTCAGATATTAATTGCTCTGTGTGACTTCATGGACTTCTGGGGCAAAATGGGAGCCCCCATCCCATGAACGTTGTTTATACCTTCACATACCACACTGCCTTTAGAGCCTCTCCTCCACCTCTCCTATATCCAGACGTCTGGAGAAATGGGACTCATACCTGAAACCTTTTAGGCAATGCCTTGACCTCATCTCTTTTTTTCTGTTCCAGTTGATGCTCAGCTCAGCTCACCTCACCATTTAGTTAAGCCATTTGATCACCTTGCTAATAGGTATCCCTCCGTTCAGTCTGTCCTTTCCTAGGACAACCTTGACATGTTGGACTACTGTGTTGTTGTTAGGTACGATCATGTCAAGTACAATTAAGGAAAGGCCTTATGAACACATGAGTGACACTATGAGAAACAGATCTGACCCCTTCCTATTCTGTGCCAAGCTCACAATCTCTCACACACGCAAGCCCACTGCTGTAGTCACTGTGTCTATCCACCTGGATGAGAGGCTTTCTTCCTTGAAGATTTTGAAGGGCACCTTGGAGAAGCTAAATAAAACTATTAAAATGGAAAATGCAGAGATCTAGAATTAGAAAATAAAAAGGAAAGAAGGCTCTCCTGACTTTTCAAGCTGAATGAAACAGAAGAATTAATGCAAGGCTTGGGTTACAGCGATGCTATGGGCAGAATGTTGAATGATTCAGGAAGCATCAAAAGAAGGTGGAGAGAATAGAAGTCACTGGACCAAAACCAACTGAGCTAATTACCTGAGTACAAATTCTGAACTTGGAATTAGCACTGCCAGGATGGAGTCTGCTCTTTAAACTAGATTATCTAAGGTGTCATGCTGCTAATCACCAACCATTCCACGGGAGACGTGTTCAGTCTCCTCCCGTGTTATTTACAGCCTCTGAAAACTCACTGAAGGATCAGTTTTGAGTAATTTCTGGCACAGTGGCAATGAGTGTAAGAGATTAATTTTTTTTTTTTCAAAAGGGTATCACCAGCCACATCACCAGACGTTTCTTCAGTTAGCACTTCTGGAAGCATTTGAACCTCCAGTCTTTCAGTTAGCACATGAGCCTGTTAACAATTAGTACTACCAAGGGTCTTTGAACCTTTGTAGGTCTATAGAATATTGTGTGAATTAGAGCTCCAGAGGGGAAAAAAGGGTGAGTGAAAAACTAGAGAAAAGAA